TGGAAAGCCCTTGCAACCGCTAATAATCGCCCAGAATCACGATGCAGAGTGGCGAGAAGAGGGCCTCATATAGGGGCAGCACACCAATTTTCTGCCCAGCTTAGAGCCCGGCCTCTTTGGAAAAAGTGGCGGAATGGTGAGACTGCTTGCCGTCGGATGGGGCCTGGCAATGGGGAAGGGAATCACCTCTGATGCCTCTTGAAGGCTGTCTCGAGAGTGATCATTTAAATGAGTCAATTTTGCTGGGCCACAATTTTGCCCCAGAACAACCCGGGGGGAAAGTGAGGTTAAGAAGAGGAGCAACAAAGAGAAATGATTGCGATCAATTGCCTCGGAGATTGAGCACGCATATCCTCACAATGTTATACGTCATAGAGAGGCTTTTCTCTTCATTAATCTCAAGACCCTGCCACTGGCGGGCCGCGCAGGGAAGGGCCGGCGGAATTCTCGGACGCGGCGTCTCACTCTGGCCCACGGAATCGACTGCCGAGCTGCTCCCGCGCTGGGAAACTCGCCATCCGATCCTGATCTGCGGCTCCCCTTCCGCGCTCGCTCTTCTCTGCGGCGCGGTGTCTGTGGTTGTTTTTATTGCATACATATCAGCTTGTTCCACACACATGTGGGGAGCGGAAGAGGGGCGAGTGGAGGCCCATTTGTGCCTCAATGGAGATGGCATTGCATGCGCTCCACATTCCTGAGGTAAAATGTCTTTTCCGTCACTTTCACGGAAATTCTTCCGTGAAAATGCAGTACACCTTCAGTTATAAATCAAATGTTAGACGCTGAGGTCTAAAAAGTCGCACTAAAATCTGCACACAGCATAACGCGTGGAAATATCGACGCCATCTTGGAAACGATAATCCCAGAAGCCGTTTTAGGAGAAAGTGAGAATAATTTAAAGCAAAATACCCACCAAACATAGTGTAGAAGTACTGAAAAGCCCCCATTCTGCCAACATTCTCAGCTCCGCAGTCGCGATGCCGCGAAAGAAGTGAAGAGAGAAACTGTGAAGAATTTCAACCTCGCGTATACAAATGCCGTGGACCACCCAAGTTGATACTGCGAGCTCTTCTCAAATTGGGAACCAATCAACACAATTTTTGATTTGATAAGTAGTGTACCCAGTACACGTTTCAGAGTAAGACAAAAACGACTGTCACTCGGTGGTGCTCTTGTGAGGCGAGGCAATTAAAAAGTGCAGATTGTAATGCAATAATTAGGGTGAGACGGAAATTTCTGTGCGAAATCCTATGTAAATGTTGCAGAATCTGTGCGAAAAAGATGCAAATTATTGGATGTCTCTCATCTAAATTCCTCACGTACAAGAAAGAATTTACTGCCCCTCCTGGATTGTGAGCCGCGTATCTTTAGGACCCACTTTTATTGCTATTTCGGGTGTTATTCGACACTCTCGCCCTGGCCTGATCACCATCTCTAGAATTCTCATGCGACATGCATGGGAAAAGTCCACGCGGGAGTTCATTAAGAAGTAATTAGGGAAATTAATTGCGGATATGAAATAACACTCGGCTTTTCACTCGTGATGGAAATTCTCAGAATGCCTCACTCAACTCTTTCACATCTTATTTCTAAATATAAGCCCACAATGTGAGAGATTCAATTGCACCACCGCTGAAAGAATACTCCAACTTGGTGGTCTTTTTATCTGCCAGAGAATGAGTTATCTAATTTCCGTCTCTTTATCTACACGCGAGATGCTGGATTTTGCATATTTATCGAAAATATTATACCTTGTTTTAATCGATTGCGGCTTCTGCGCAAAAAACACTTCCTACTAAGAGACTAAGAACACATGCATGACATGTATGCTATGTGTATGATTATCTAACCTAGAATTTATGCAACTATCGAGGAAATTGAAACTTTTTCATCTCTTTTCTTTGAAATCTAGCTATTTGTGAAATACAAAATCATGATCTTCAACTTATTTTATGTTCATTATTATATCATGTGAATCGATATGTGAAAGATACGTTTTGCTTTCATGACATGCATTTTGTAATGCAGTTTATTGTCTGATCGCACAACGTCCACAACAATCATATTTGATTTCACCTCTTCCTTTGTGGTTACACAATTTTGTCAAAGTTGAATTACAAATGCCGCCCATGAAGAAAGTAATAACCATACATGCACGATGCGAGATGTTGCTTGGCGTATTAATTGAATTAAAGCTCTTTCTCGAGATGGTTATTTTGCTCAAACAGATCAACTCGTTTCTCCTGCCTGTAATAAAAGTGTCGGCTTCACTTGCGATGAGGCCTGCAATTGCACCAACATTGTTGCATTGGCTCTGCACGCAAATCGGCATGTGCGGTTGAGTTCTCGCGCCAACCTTGCGCCTTGTCTTAGAAACTGCCCAAATGCTGTGGCTCTTTTGGAGGTCTGCTGCTGAAGAATTTGATGCCCTGCTCTTTTCACCTTCTGTCTGCCATCCAGAAGCATTAGGCATTCACGTTTATCTGATCAAATTGATTTCGATGAGTGTGTGAGAGGTATTTTTGTCAATTTGATCCTCTTTTTCACTGTCCGGGGATAAAATGTTTTTTCGTCACACTAATAAATTTCTCATTGTCACACTATAATCAAAGAGAAATTCAACACCCCAGGGAAGGGGATATTTTTCTGTTTGTTCTGACAGTCAGTGAATAGGTGTGCTATATGGTGTATGTAAAGTGCATGGAACGTCTCACGTCTATTTTTTTTTTAATTAAATGGAAATAAAACTTTATGGTCATTTCTATGGGTGATGAAAGAATTTCACTGCACCCCTTTTCCGGGCACTTCGCCTCAGAGGACGGAGGGTTGAAATGTTAGACGAGGTGGCAAAGTGTAAAAAGAATTTTTCAATTAAGTTCCTTCCGTGACGAAATCGAAGGACATTTTCATTTATTTTCCAATTCCTTCTCGCAATCGTCACGCTGTATCACTTTCCACGGCGACGTGATGAGTTTTTTCCACGAACTTTCCCGCCCGATTGGCCATCGGGAATGTGAGGCTCAAATTTTAGAAGGGATTTGTACCCCCGCCGGATCTCCCGCTCATACCCAGAAATTCTGCAGCCAAAGAGCACGCATTCACGCAATTTGAGTGGCAACATGTCTAATTACACGAGTCTTGACGGTATAAAGAACTAATTAGTTTCTCATTCATCCGTGCATAATGGGGACCAATTTAGAATTTATTTAATTAAGTGATTTTCTCTGTACGCCGCAGAAGCTCAAGCCAGTGCTTTCCAAACTGCTGACGTCTCGCGCCTCAACTGACCTGCGAGACTCGTGACTTGTGTTTGCAACTTGCAAATGCCGCGAGAATGTTGCACGATAAATGGTGCAAATTATTTGACATTAGAAATTGATTTTCTCCCCTTTTCCTCTTCAAATCCCACACTTTGCTCCTCAACACGTGACGAATTGCAAACTTGAGATCTTGTAGTGCTTGTAATGAAGATTTCTCCTGAAAGGGCGCTCTTTTTTTGTATAGTCGATGTGGAATGTTGAACAATTCACATTGAGTGAAAATGTGATCAATTTCTTGTCATCCGAGCAGAATTTTTCTAATATCCCAAACCCGCAATTGCAAAGAGAAACACTTTGAATGCCTATTGAAATGATGTTGAAAGAAAGTAATTTACGTCATTCTGTCAGGCTTACTCTAATGATTTTATAACACTTCGCGTCTTCCATCAGCTACTGCCATAAGAGTACACTGATAACGTTTTCATTGCTTGATCTTCGGGCAGATTCTAAACAAGGATACTTAAAACTCTCTCACTTTTATTGAAGATTTAGAAATATTATTAGAAAAATGTTCTCAGAAATGGGATGAAAATATTACATTTTAGCTTAATTTGCCGTGTTGCACTAAAATGCATCAGTTATGACAGTGACTGATGGAACAAACGACTAGACGAAGGTAAAATTTAGACACTGAATGAAGTCAAAAGTTGCCACTTATTAGTGTTTGAAATTTTGCCAGCAAAATAATTGACTATAACAGTCATTCGTTGACTAAATCAATGCCAATCCACAGCTAAATTGTTGCGCTCAGGCTAATTTTTAATGAGGATCTCGCATCAGAGTTGACATGCGAGCTGTGCTAGATCGTATCGAAAGTGGATCACAGTTTGACAATCGCTGGAGTCGCTTCAAGACATTCAATTAAGTATTTTATTCCCTCTCCGCGTCTTTTCATGTGCGTAAACGTGTTCTCTGTGCACATCGGGGGAAGCTTGGTCTTTTTGGACGGATTAGCGCGGGATTTTGCCACGGAATCAAAATACCAGAAATGATGTGAGCGAATATGGTGAGGCAGAGATGAATTTCTGAGGCTGCAGAAGAGTCAGTTCTGCTCGGGGCGTAGTGAAATATACGCTGTTTTGCACATTAACCAACACACTCGACGCCCGAATCGAGCCAAGTCGACAAGTTGCCAATAAAAATTTGGTTTAATTGAATATTATTCTCGCAAAGCTGCCCCCACACGGAGAATCTGCGGTTCTCAGAGACTCAACTGATCGTCATTCATATGAAGTGCATGAAAGGCGAAGATAAAATCCTCACAAGAAATGTTAAATGTTGGAATAATTGCGAGACAACACTTTGTTCAATTTCTAGAATCGCACTCAAAGTAGAGTTGAGTGTTTTATAGATTTTCTTCCTCTTCTTTCCACCGACTCTCACTCGGCGGTATCTCAACTCTGACTCTTGCGGCTGTCTGAGAAAATAATATTGTTTACTGACTATTCAGAGTTTCTTTTAATGGATTATCTCGTGAGATAATCGCCAATGGATTAATGTCTAATTCCGCCTCTAATAACAATTAAGAGTTCTCAAATGTAAATATTTACCTTTCAAGTCAATTTTCTCGTTTGGTGATTTTCGCCGCGCTGTCAAGATGTCAATACGAAGGATTTCCTCGGCTGATCGCAAGAGAAGGTTTTTCCGCGAGGAATCAAGTGAAACGCACATGCTTCTTGGAATTCATTAATAAAATTAAATGTATATTTTCTCTCTTTCTCCTGGCTCTTCTCTCTATCGGAAAATCTTTTCACATAATTCAATTTCTTAACTCTTTTTTTTACAATCCACTATATTAAGAGATTACTCTGAATTTTGACAATTTTTTTTTATACAATGATCTTTATCTAAATACGCATCTGGTTGGCTGAGAAGAAGTTGAAATGATCATTTCTGACAAATGAAGTTCATGTATTTTTTTGAATTTACGCCAGAGAAAAACTGCTATTCAATCTTCATTTTATCTTTAAATATATCAACATGCAGCATCTCGGAGGAAAATAGAATAATTTCTACTGCTTAAGGGATCATTAAGTACAATCTCTAATATGCTTTCTTCTCTTCTTTAATATAAAATGTATTTACAGAAAGGAATATTCAACACTTATTCACAAGATTGCTATCATTCTCTGCTTATTATAATCTAAAATCTCACATTCTCTACACTTAATCATCGCCCTTTATCTGAATGTTTTTGTTTTTCTTTTTCTCTTTTAAACCGATATAGTTTAGCAATGGCACTGTTCAATGTATCATTCTTTTAATTTAAGATTTTCACTCTACAGCTTTTCTTTATGGTAAAATGGTAAATTTATTTACTCTTATCAATTGCTATCATCCGTTACTTCGTCGACACTCGCGTTCCAGTCGTGAGTGCCTCAGACTTTTGCTTGTGCGTGCAACTCCTGCAGCTCTTCCTCCTCACGCGTGAGCGCCACTGTGGAGTGATTATAGAGCCCCTGAGCCATGAGTTGCAGCGCCAGGGGGTTCTTCTGGCCGGACGCCTTCTTGATCTTGGCCCTCTTGTTCTGAAACCAAATCTTGATCTGCGCCTCGTTCAGGCCCAACTCTGCGCTGAGTTGCTGCCGCCGCTTCTCCGTGAGGTAGCGATTTTCGCTGAATTCATGCTGCAAAGGCAATTTCTCTTGTTAGTAAGCAGAAAGATTGGGAACCACTGGCCGAATTTGCAAGACGAAGCAAATGAGCTTTACTAGCACTCGAGCACATAACATGAATTATTTTTGCGAGAGTTTTAGTTTCTTCACAGTTTTCTGACATTGGGAAATCACGGCAGAATTCTACAGGATATTCTGCTAGATTTGTTCCCAGAAAGACGCTATGGAATCTGATGCAAATTCTTATGAGATTTTCGTAAGATATTGATATCTTGAAAGCTCTTTTCTCTGGATCTTTAAAAAATCTAGACATTCGATACAAACCTTCAGTCTAGCCAATTGGGAGCCACTAAATGCAGTCCGAGGTCGCTTCTCCTCTGGCACTGGGGCTCCCTTTTCGTTCGGGGGCTTCTTTTGTCGACGCGTTCGAGGACCTACAGAAGGAAAAGATGGTTAGCTTTGCTTCACAGAATCAACCATCAAAAATGTTAATAACTCTATCAAGATTGCATCAAAAGTTCGTTGGAATAAGTGGAATTTTTGGCCTCTTTTTCTCGCACCAGATTTTCTATGAATTATTCGCTACTATGATATTTCACACTGCATAAATTCCTTCAATGGCTTGTTGAAAGCTCACTTGAAAAACTATATATATATATATATCGATGTATCGGTTGCAAGCGATAGCGGAATGCCAACAAATCACTTTGTGATGCAATTCTCATGAGCTCAGTCATAATTTCTGCGAGGACAATATAGTGAAAAAAAAAATATGCACTTCATCAATTCACTGATGCATATCGATCGACAGCAAAGGTCTGTTTTGTGGGAAAATCACGGATTATTTGGAGTGATTCCAAATGGTCACATTATCCGCCACAATTGAAGCGATTTGCTGCTGGTCTATCTCCAAGTGTGCCTTTTCTTGTTGGGTGTTAAGTTGTGGAGACAATTGAGAAATAATGAGGCCAAGATCTCGTGTCTCTTCTCACACTTGGGCCAATCAATCAAATTCACGGGCATGATTTGATCGGATCTCTCACACTTGACGATCCGATGAAAAGCCGAGGCTCTACTGTAATTCAATTTGTTCAACAATCACTCTTTCTCATCACGATTTCCCACATTCAATTGCGAGTGGGATGGACTGGATAAGAAAGAAAAGCTATTTATGCTTACAAGATGTTCCCTATTTTTTGTGCGTGAAAATCCTCACCATTAAGTGGATTTTTCGGTCTATTCACATGGCCAAATACAAATTATGTGTGTGTGTTGCTATACAGAAATTTCCCGCTCGCCCCCTTTGTGGGAAGTCTGGTGTGGTTGTCTTTTCAATGCGGGATTGAATCACAGACCAACCCCAGGGGGTTGCTCGTTCGACATATTGAAATGTTGTACCATTGAAGGCTGGTGGCGCACTTTGGGCGGCGATAGAGCCGAGGCGGGGCCCGAACTAATAGCAAAATTAACAATATCATGTGCCACAACATTTCCATGGAAGATGAATTGCAACAAGAGCCTTTTATGCAATAACAAATACGACCAAATTCAATTTCTCTCCATTTTCAAGGAGATTTCCTATTTATCCTGCGTGAGAATGAGCAGATGTTCCTGTCACATTTCTATACCTTTCTGTTTATCTCTTCTGCGAGCTTCCGAATACAAGGAAATTGCCCATGTTTTTCTTCTGACTTCACCGGTGGGCAAAATTCACTCAATTCATCCACACACGATGTTTTTGTGAGCCAGCAAAAAAAATTACGATTACACGAAGAGATGCCATTTCAACATCCTGAGCAGGAAACATTCCTTTCCAAACGACCATTTTTGCGAGTTTGATGCTAAATTAGGTTTCGCTTGAAGAATCATCGCCTTTGGACATTTCTCAAAACGAGATGTGAAAATAATGATTTTCAGCTGATTTCATGAAGATTATTTCTTGGTAAAATTTTGACTGTTCATGTGTTTAATGTTTCATTGAAGAATTAAAACGCACATCATTTGCTTCTTTATAGTGATAAATTAAATGAAATCAATCTCGATTTCGAGAGACTCGCATCTAAGATTATATTTTATCACGGAAAAGCATCGACAATGAGAATATCGATCGAAATACTGACACAATACTGTCATTAAGTCTCCCTCGATGGCACTCCTGAATTGACCCCCTGAAACAAGGGCTTCGCTTGGTGTTCTCTTGAGAGTTTTACGTAAAAAATCACCTCGCGATAAGATCTCAAATACCAAGAGACACTCCATTTACAGTGCATTTTTCTATTCAAGACGCCCTGGTTAAAATGCATTTCTGTCTTTTCCTCTTGGGGACAATTTAGCCGGCAAAGAGAAATTTAATGTATCGCATTAATATTGTTGGTAAAACAATAGGTAATCAAATACTGTCTCAACGGATGGATCGTCTCATTCATCGAGACGATCACAAATAGTTTTACTCAATTCTGCGCTCTCGTCTTTCAGACTGCCTCTTTTTTGTGCCTCTCCGGGCAGATCGACTCGTGATACAAAACGATGAAGAGAATCTTCATGATGATTTCACCCATGTTTTGAAATTTTAATTGAATTATTTGACTCAACAAACAGGAACAATTTATGGAGATGTTGTCAAACATTTATCCAATTATTATGCAAAGTGGATCGATTTGAAATCCATAGAACAACACTGAGAATTAGTAAAATGTCTCTTTTCACGACATCACAAACTTTTATCAAGCATTTTAATTATTTCATCAATTAATGCGACAAGAATCAACACGATCGGCAACGGAGACTGAAAAATACAGGGTTATGCTTTGCATTTCCCATGGATTTTGTTGGCATTTCCTCGGAAGATTGCACTGATAAACAGTTGTTGGGGCAATTTAAAAATAATCAAAGAGATTTATTAATCAAGTGCCTGTCATTCCTAATTGATTTCCTCCAAATTTGATAATTCAGTTCAGAAATAAAACGCATTTCATGTTCCCGATGAAAGCTCTTCTGAGGTAATTTCCCGTCGGTGAGACGCGTGAGCTTTTTCACTCCACTTCTTGACATCGTAAAAGCACCCATAAAAGTCTACGTGAAAGTCAATTAAGTCCACTCTTCACGTTGATGGCACTTCCATCAATGCCGTTGAGCCTGAATTGATTGCCTTAAACAACAAAATGGGTGGTTCTTACTCTAAGCCGGGTGAGGGCGGTTTGGGTCATCATATGGCTGCATCATTACTTACTTCGTCCTGCAAATAGATGGAGAAAGAGGTAAAAATTAAAGAATTTTCCATTAAAATCACTGGAGATTTATTCATCTTGGGCACATAAATAATTTTATATCTTAATTAATTATCTGGTTGTCGGTTAGCGTTGCTGGAGTGAGACAGAGAGAAATCAATTTAAATTAATACTGAAATTACCACCATTGAGCAAAGTGAAATGATAATAAAGCTTTGCACAATGGACATGTGAATGGGAAAACGAATGGTGGATTGATTTGATGTGTGTAGACACAATAATGCAAACTCTATTAGCAGTGGTCATCAATGTGGGCCCGCGGGCATATTTTGTGGCCTCAATGAGCGGTATTTTATTATTAATTGCTATTATTGTCTGGGCAATTTTCAGCTTTTTCTGTCCAATTGCAAAATTACATCTCATAGCAGAAAGAAATCCGGTGAAATTTTGACTAAAAGGGCTTCAGAAAGTTCATAATTTTCCATCCACAGTCTGTCAAATTTTCTCTACGGAAATCCAATTAATTCCATTTCTATTTCACCCTCTTTCCTCCCCTCCTCGTTATCCAATTGAGAGCAATCATTTTCGGGCCGTTGCTGGGCCCCAAATGCTTCGGTTGCACTCAAAGGGGTTTCCATAGGCCTTCCATGAGACTCTAGTGCGCCACATGACGACAATCTCGTTAGAATGTTGGCGAGAGAGAATGGAAACCGCAGTTGAATTACGTTTATTAGATATTTCATTGTGTCTTTTTTGTCATGTTTTTGTCCTCGCTCTCTCTCTTCAATAATAAATGACTCTTTTTTGGATGTTCATTGGGTGAAATTGTGTCTCTCCCCTCGCGTAGTTATGAATCAAAATGCCTTTTCAACGGAACCACTCGCAGTGTTGCATCAACATTTTCCCCAAATTTAGTCAGAATGACATCAAACAATTTCATGTGTGAGTGGGATGAAAATGAATGTCTGGCGCACATGAGAAGGGAATTGATTGAAGTGTAATTTATGTTGCAATAAATTAATTAATTATATTGTCGAAAATCAAATCACTCTCGAATAATTAGAAACTGTCTAAATGTCCTGGTGGGGCAATTTATCTTGTCTCGAGGGTATTTTCGTTGGGACAAGAACATCTTGCAATGGGCGAAAATGAGATAGACACGCTCTATTTCAAATATGTTGCCACGTTCTTCTGTTCAGATGCCAAGTTTCTTGCCAAGTCTTTTTCCTCCATTTTCCTAGAAATAATTACAAATTTGTCTCTAAACCACTAATTGTCGGTAAATGTGTAATTTTCTTCTTTTCTCCCTGGTGACTGAAAAATGTATCGTCGCTTGCATCTCAAACACATGTTTAGTCCGCCTCGTGTCCCCACCCAAGTCTGTCTTTAACATGAAAATTAGGCTCAATCATCATTCTAATAAGGGCAGGGATTGCATATTCAAGTCTGTCGCGGACACTTTTTACCTCAACATCAATTGAAAGCGACAACATCTGCATGGATAAATAAAAGCATAGTATTTAGAAGATGTTTAACCGAAAAGGGAGAAAAACAGCAGATTAGGAGAAGAAAAACATTTATAATGAACTGAAACTTTTGCTTTGATGATTTTAATAGATAATTAGATTCAAATTAAGCATGTCTAGAGTTAGTTTAACACGTAGCTCTCTTCTATGATTCTGTGAGAAAATAAATATTGGAAAATCTGAGTGGCCAAATGACATTAAGAAAACTATTATCTGTGCAGTCTAGATAGTTATATTTTCTTCTAATATAGTACGCACTCAGATATATAGTACACAGCAGCCCCGTTCTCCCCTAGTTGACACCGTCTTCAGACTTCATCCCTGAATTCCGCTTTGCGACCCTCGTCTTCCAAAGCTAATTTCCAAGTAGTTGTGAATTGAGACAAGAATCATCTTGTGTGAATTAAATTCAATGATCCGCAGCAATTTTCCGGCGAATCCCCCCACCGAGAGGCGGCTCATGAAAATTTCATGAAAGTGGTGGGTTTCTGAGGGAATGTCCCTAAGGGATGGCAAATAAGCCAAATGGATTATATAATAGACAAACATGCGTGAAGTAGATAAATTCTCCGATGATGTGCAATGAAATTAATTTGGCGGGATATCAACGGCTGAACACCCTCTCACCATTTATTTACTCTCCCACTCGACACACCCCGAAGGAGGGATTCTGAGAGGGTGGAAAAGCGCTTTCATGTCAGATGTATTGTGTGAGATTAAAATTGAGCTAGTACCAGAAAACGAGAGGGTTGAAAAGAGGGTGGAAAAAAGGGCTGCAAACTGCACAACAATATTATCATTCACGGTACAAGAGAATTTGTATTCAAAACACAATTCGTGTGTGGTATGAGGCAGAAAAATCCCGTGTTTACGCATGATTTCTCACAATGTTTGCAGTGGAAAAACCGATGGTGGAGATTTTGAGAAGGATTTATTGAATTTACACGCCCATGGCTGAAAAGGCGATAAATGGGTTGAATGCAGAGATTTGATAGAGAAAATCGTGAAATTCACACAATTATCACTCCTTCCAAAGTACACACTATCTTAAGTGTTTCCTCCAACATTAGCACCCATCGATTTCCCTCCCACTCCAGCGCTTGGCGTGTGGAATTCAATTTAGACCACGAAGGAAGACACACAAAATGCTGTAACCTAATCGATACACTTTCAGCCTTATCAAGACTTCACCGCCTTTAGCGTGGAAAATTTATGTCCATTGGCAAATCCCTTGGGAATAATTGGATCAATTTGAGGAAAATACAGAGTGCATTAAATTTGAAATTCCATGCTAGATTTCATTCATTAAGGCAAGAAGAATTCCCGTAAAATTTCACTAAAGTTTCCCTCATATCGTTTTCATTCGCATGAAGAACGAGAATTCCTCAGTGATCATTAAGAAGTCTTGTGTGCTCGTAAAACAATGAAGTGACACAATAAAAAATTTTCCTCAGAATTTACACACTGGGAGGAAAGAAATTTATTGGCGGCGGAATGGGGAGAGCGAGAAGAGGCGCGGAATGTGTGAAGGAACGAGAAAGATTTCCCTCAATTGGAGGCAAACTCCGAAGCTTGCCTAGAAGAAACCCATGTTGAGAGTGTCATGAATCACTTGAAATCAAGTGAAGAGGTTTCACATACAATTACCATAAGTAATCAAGAGAGCAAATACGATGATCGTGTGGTTCACTATGCCAACATAATAAGCAGTTAACACATCCAAAGAGGGAGATTGCTTGTTAAATACAAGAATATTTAGCATATTTTCTCTAATTCACCTCCTAAGTCAGTCTTATGTACACTCTCCTCGATTGTGTTACAAAATTTCGGGCTACAATATGTGGCAAGAGGCTCCTCGGCGACTACATCCAGATGGCTCAGGAGATCGTATCCATCGGCAAGATCACCGATAAATATTCGATTACGAGGGTGCTGCTTCAGAATGCAATCCCGCATTTTCGCTCACTGGTTAATTAAATCCTCTTTCTCTTTCACCTTTCCGCAGAGCCACACATATTCCACATACATATTAAATGTATGAAAAATGTATAGAATCGAGATAATTGTGCAATTAAATTTATCTCACTTTAGCGTGCAACACCGAGAGTCCGTTACACTTCAAATATTCACCGATGGCGCGCGGTTCACATGAAAAATCCCCGCTAAACGCCTCTTTCGACTCCCAACGCCGCTGCACAATTATTGGGTGATCCCGTCACTTTGTCCGACAAATTGACAAAGAGGTGATATGTGAAAATTAAACGGTAATAACAAATAAAAGACTTAAGTGGCCAATATTCAAGCGATATGGTTATTGTATTAATAAATAATTAAATGAGCCAATGTCACGCCAATGACTTTACATAATCTAAATTCCCCCCTCTCGCCTTATCATCGACACATGATCAAGATAACTTCACCAAATGACCAAGAATTTAAATGTGCACATCGTCGCAAAGAATATTGTGCATCTTTTATGAAACAACTTTTCTCCAGCGACAATTGGAAAAAGACATGAAACATGGGCTCTTAATGAGGTGATAAAAGCTCTTTATATATGGCGAACATTTAAATGAGCTCGCGATTTGCCGTATCAGCTGAATTGCAATCAATTCACGTCAGAATTGATTCGATGATGTTAAAATGAAAATTTCTTTACACGTACAGCAATTAAGTATAAGAAATCAGTGCTGAAGAGTTTGTAGGGAAAGTCGGGGTTATTCTGCTTACTATATGAATCAGTACGATTAGATCTTAGCATAAAAAATATGAGTCAAAACATAATCATCATTCATGATTGAGAAAATTAATTGAAAGGAAAATTCTTTCAGACTTGCGATTTAACAGATAGTCGCACAAACTGAGCAAACTTTTAGTTTGAAGACGTTGAATCTTTGATTAAAAATGTAGATAAATGTAATCATGTGCGAATGTGCCCCGTCTGGTCCTAAATATTACTTTTGATTGTATTTTGCATTTTAGCCATCGATAAGCAACGGAATCTGGGTGCAGGAGTGAATGGTGTCGCCTCGAGGCGCTCCCTAAAATCCGCGTGAAAAATGGTTTGGTATATGGAAATTCCGCAGTGGCAAGATTTCCCCCATTTGAGGAAATTCCACGAGCGATTTGAGGAGCAGCGCAGCGACGAAGACACCCGCAATGTGACTTGGCAAAGAGAAGAAGGGAGAGAATTCTGCCAAGTGACTTTTGTAACACATCGCGAATGGTGAATCGAATAAATCGTTAAGAAGTTTTTGGGGGGCCTCCACATCATTCTTCGCTCCAGAACGAGTGCGAGAGAGATTGAAGAAGCTTTCACGGTGTTTGTGTGAGGTCGATGTCGAATGAAAAATGGGCCTTTTTCTATAAATAATACATATATAAAAGCCGAGCAAGCGAAAGCGGAATTAGTTTTCTTCTCGGTGAAGCTGAACTTCCAAACTGTTAATCGACATTTTCAATTGTCACGTAAGCATTATGCTGAAAACTCTCAGAGTTTTTCTCCACGCGCTTCTCCGCATTTCACTTAGCGAAATGGAAATTGTTTCTCACTTTAATTGGATTGAGCATTTTCTGGGGAAGTCACACAAAATGCATTGTCAGTGGCGATGGTGAGAAAATGAGCCGAGCACATTTCGCTTTAGTTTATTCTAAGTTTTTGGCCGATTTTTCATGATGCCAGATGCGAAGTGAGAACGAGAAGACAGAAATTTGGGGTGCAATTTAATTAAATTAAATCCATGGCAAGAAAAAGAAGAGGAAGAATAATGTCATTCCCTTTCAGACCACACACGATGATCTGCCGGCGTTTCTCAGCTAATTCGTACCATTTAAATAATCGTGAAAATTTATCTCGGAACGCCGGAGAAATTGAAAAGACATTAATAAAGTGTCTTTCTCCATCTCATTGCCTCACTGATAGTCCATAACGGATGTACACTTTTTCGCGGAAAAGACTCTCAAAAGGAATTTCGCCTTGGAATTCCCTTCCCACTTTTCCCGCCGTTCAAATGCTCAAATTTAATAATTAACTGTTGTTTTTTCATCTCACACATATAATACTATGAGATTTAAATTAATTATAATGTCTTTTATAGCTCAGCTCATCTCTCGGCGACCGCGCGAGAGAGAACAATTCTGTGGGATGCTGTTGTAGGTTTACCAGAGTTGAACGGTGTGCGGCAAGAAAGACAAATGGTAGACTGGAAAGAAGCTAAATGATTCCCTCCATAAAAAAGCACCAATATCAAAAGGCTCTATAAAACAATTTGGGGCGCCACTGTTAATTTATATGCGAGCGCATGCAAGAAAAGGAGGACTTTCTTGTGCGATTTAAATCCGTCACTGGCGATTTAAGATCATCTTCGTGTGTTTTTATGCCAGTTGGGAAGAGAGCATCACTCACATGTTTGGCACTTTTGCGAATGAGCCACACACGTCAAGAAAAAGAAGCCCAAAAGCAGGGACCAACAGACACTTTAGGCCACCTTTTTGCCAGAAGTTTGGCAAGAAATGCTGATAGAGGCTTAAATCAATACCAGTTTTTGCCTAATTCGCGAGACTCGTGAGGAATTATTTTGATTAATTTGCACGAATTCAGAAAACAAAGGTAAATTTGCTGGGTTTTAGCGAAAAAAGCTTAGGAACCCAAGGAAATATTGTTGTATTTTGAATGTCACAGGAATTGATTATGATCTTTCTATCCAAATTGCAAAATTTTATATTGTATATCCAAATAGAAAACCACTAATACTAAAAATGGGATCCAGAAAGATTCAGAAGAGTCACATCGTGCCTCTCAAAGTTAATCCACCAGTGGAGTTTGGAGTGTGGCAATAGTGGAGTTAATACCACTTCAATATCAAATAAATTTCAGACACGAAGGCGCCATAAAACAGTAAAGATTCCCAAAGTTAAACATCACAATAAATAATTGTAAATTCAACCTACTAGTTTCTCTCTCGTCCTCCTTCTCCACCATCTTCACGAAAGAGGCAAAGAAGTGTGATCTCTTTTTTTCTCTCTCCAGACTCACCTCCGGACAATCTCACGAAAATCACGTCACAAGACATCACACGATGATATAATTTTCTATTTTAATTGAAATGTAATATCCCCATGGTATTTTGATGGAAATTAATTTAATGCGCGAAATGATATTTATCTCAATTTGGATAGTATGAATATAAAAAGGAGATTCCAGTGAATATGCGCGCGAGGGAGAGGAAAAAATTAAGAGATAAATTGGAGAAGAGAAAGAGGAGAAAAAAAGAATTATTTGAATACCAATTGGTGTCATGTATTTCTTTTATATGCAGTTTAGGCGAGTTATTAATAAAGACCACACATCATCTAATATTTAGACCACCCAACACGATAGAAGAGTACACGAGAGAGAGAAATACAGTGGAGTCCCATAAAACTGCAGCGTAAAACATAAATACGTAACATGTAAATTAATGTTTTCGTATTTTATGTTTCTCTCCGCGATTTTTCGTTTCTCCAGCGTACTTCTTTGGACAGAGACTGTGTGTGCGTTCCTCTGTGTCGATTTCTTGGCGGATTTTACAGTTAAGGATGTCTTTTTTAAGCCACTCTTCTCCACTTCTCTCTCTCGCTCTCGCTGTTTCTCTCTCGCCACTCATATCGCGAATATACATTGTTATTATTCTTAATAACTTTCCTTCGCCCAATTGATATCTTAGCCCCTAATTTCACTTTAATTGAAAGTGTGAGAAGCAATTTGGCCCCTCGCAGAAAATTCGCAATTTCGCCTTCTTGAGGTGACTGTAATGGGCGGGCAATTTCCCAAATTGCAATTTAATAGTTTTCCCTAGTCCTGAGATTTCCATGTTTTTGCGCGCATGCAGAAATTTACCGGCTTCTCAGGTGTCCAATGTAATAATTCCCATATTCGTATATGTTAATGAAGATGTTTCATATAAAGGTAACAAGACTCATATTGGGAAGGTATTTGACCCCAAACTGTGTGATATTCGTCCATATGACTGATATATTGAATGTACCTGGCGCTAAGCTCTTTATTTGTTTTTCTTCTCGTTTTTTTCCATCCCAGCATATTCTTCTGTATAAACATTTTTTTCCACCCGTAGACACACATGGCGTATGAAAAGGAACAGAAGGAGCTCAACCAGTTGAAGAATCCACTGAGATTGTGCGCTCCAAAGAGCCCAACATCTCTTTTATTGACTCGGACTTGTCAGGTTTTTTCACCCATTCTCCGGAGGGATTCTCAAAATTTTTGGAGAAAAATCGAAAGTTTCGGGAGTGATAGCGCCGTGTGTGGCTCTGAGAACGTGAATGAAGTGACCGAGAGTGGATTGAGAATCTTCGCATGAACAGCCTGGGTTGTCTTTTTTGTTGATGCTTTTCTTCCACACAGAGCCGAGAGGTTTACCAACTTAAATACAGGCGAGATAGTTTGGAAAGAATGCAAGTGCAGAGTTGAGAGTTGAGCATGAGAGGAAGCTGATATAGACGCGTGAACTAGAATGATAACAAAAGCAGTAAACTTCCGACTTGCGGCGAGGTTTAGCATGTACTCAAGCTTATTCCTAGTGACGGCTTTAGTCAGATCTGTCAATATGACTGACTGATTGAAATAAAAATTTTATAGATTAATATCGCTTATTCAGTGTTGATGCGGATAAACGCTTTAAGTCTATTGAACCCCAAATAGTTTTCCTTTGGCCACATGACCCAAGATTGGTGAACCCCTTGACTCTTCCAGCAGGGTATATAATGCCTTTCATTGATGTTTACACACATCATAGATTTACAGTCGAGGGGCTCCTCCGGAGAGACACCCAGTGGCTGGAACTTTGATTTGTGACGGGCGGGTTATTAATTTCGGGAGTGTGTCCACAAAGGCGATTACCAGCAAGGACAGGGCATTAGGATGCTTTAGTGGTTCTCTCTGTCTCAGTCTGGGAGAATGGACCGAAGATGAGTGGAAAGGAGGATTGCGATGATGATTCATAGCGTATGAGGTCAGCAGACGGCCGGCTGTGCGGCATTGGGGACTCACCTGAACTGGGTCTATCACTGTATCTGGTGCAGTACACCCAGGCGGGCCACACCATGGGTCCATCGGAGCTCGAGGAGCCGGTGCTGGAGGAGAGCTTGGCGGCAGCCTGGGAGGTGGTGGTGCCGCCACCGGAGAACTTCCTCTCCGCCGTGGCAGTCAAGTCTATGGCAGTGGACTCCTTGGCGCCGGGGAAGGCGATGCCCTGGCCCAGTTTGCGGGACACAGCGGACCTGGCGCTGGCCAGCGTCTCGCTGATGCGACAGCCAAAGTCCGCCTTGAGGATGTTGTCAATGCTGAACTTGAGGGTGGTCTCGTTGTCGAGATTGTTGATTGTGCCGTAGGACTTGAGCGGGGGCGACAGCGAGTTGTCCCGCGACAACGTGTTGCCCGGCGATATTGATTTAACACTGGGCGCCGTGTGACGGAAGCCCGGCGACTGGGACTTTGTGCTGGCGGCGTCATCGTCAGCAGGCGGCGGCGGCTTCCACTTTCCGAACCCCTTCTCCCCAGGCGACCCGCCGTCCTCATCCATAGCCATGGGCTCCTTCTGGGCTAAGCTATTGCTATTGCTAGTGTTATCACAAATGCGGAATAGTCGCTTGATTGAGTGACTGTTATTGAGCTCCGTCGAGGAGGGATGGAAGTTCTTCTCCAGGATGCCCTCGAAGCTCTTCGGCATCCTGTCCGTGGGCGCCTCCAGGTGGCTCTTGAAGGTGTCACTCGAGGACTCCTTGGGCGGGGTGGGTCGGTATGTCGTGAACGCCGTCCGGGTCGGTAGGTTCTCCTCCTCGGAGGCCATCTCCTTGCCCACGGACAGCTCACTGTCGCCACTACAACTGGACCTGTCACTCTCCATATCGTCCAACTTCTTCACGTCCATGCTCATACCACGAAACAGACTCACTTTGCCCGCGTTAGTGCGCTCGTCTGGACATTTGTCCGGAAACACGCGAGGTGTCTTGAGATGATCCGTCAGCGGTTCATACGTATTTCGCGGTGACATTCTATCTCCTTTTGCACAATATTGCATCTCCCAGGGCAATCTTCAACTGCACATTCAGCATAATCCTCGGGATGATGGCCTGCCTCTGCAGTGTCAGTTGTCCGGTTGCAGATGCTAGCGACGGCAACGGAACAGGCGTTGATGTGATTTTGTCTAAATCCGGCAATTACTCAAGGCGTACAAGTTATCAATTAACACTTCACTTTGCATGATTCTGCAGGTAAGTTATGTCCAATGGCCGGCTTCTCGTCGCAGTCCCGACACAATTCAGTAGCGCGAATACTCGGCGGAAAAATCTAAAGAATTGCCATCGCGTGGGTGGCCTCTCATGTGGCTCATGACCAGATCCCGGAACTGTCTGTCCTATCGCGGAGGGACTCTCAAGTGGGTCCAAGACTCAGACGAGCGCTGCACGGAAAGAAGTCTTGTCACAGCAACACCACGAGGAAGATTGAGTTGTTTTCCGGGGGCATCAAGTATCAAAAAAGCACCACGACAGTTGTGCTGATGAAAATGCCAGACACGAAGCGAGAGAGGCAGCGAGCGGTCGACTCCAGTCGGTACCATCCGTTTGACTGGCACACAGCTCCGTGTGAAGCAATGTCGAGATAGAGGCGGGAAGTTGCTCAACCGCACTTGGGCGGGAAGTGCCCCGATTGGTGCCGAAATGGCCAGCCTCGAAATATAGATTTTTCCACCATCTAATTAGATTGGACTGTGGTATTTTTCTACCTGAACTGGCGGAGCCAATCCCGTGCATCGGCGGCCACCGGAGAGCCGAAATGCACCCTGGGGATTTCATGGACAAGGAGAGGTTTAGGGACCAACACACACACACACCAGCTGCCTACAAAATGAGCCCATGTTCAAACACTGCACCTTCGATAGCACACGAACGGACACTTTGTACACATCGGAGCCCCTAAATTATCAGTTTATTGCACACAACGAGCCGGACGTATAATTAAAAATTATTCTTTTAATTAAAAATCAATGTCCACCATGGGTATATTTGTCCACTTCTGCTCGTTACGCTCTCGGACTCGCTATATCTTTGATTTTTTATTCATCCAGCCTAATACGCCTTCCATTATTCAGAGCGGCTCAATTTGGCGTGTACGGGGAACTCCGTATTCCCAATTAAATACACCATGACAAGCCACAATGATTAGAAAATTAGTTGGGTCAGAGAATGTGTTTCGTGAAATTTTTCATATGTCTTCTTTGATGACTTTTGAAGGATGGATATATTCGTTCAGGGGTTTACTTTTATGGAATTTCTGGTCTTTCTTTTTCTCCGGACGCTGTCAGGATTGAATGGGATTAGAGCGCTAATTTGGAAATTTAGATGTTTTCGGGTATTATTAAGGCGTGAAGTTTGTGTGGTGCGGGCTTTGAAGAGCTGCAGCGACGGGATTTTGGCCTCGAACTTTTCGTTCGATCCTAAAAGAGAAAAGTAGAAAATATCCGGCAAGAAGTGACCAAAATATGTAAATTTTCGCACTAGATTCACAATCAGACTGACAACAATACTGATAATGAGCATTGAGGTTGACTGTATTTTATCTAATGTATAACAGAATTTATAACAGGCAATAGCAAAATAAGATTTCAAGGCATTCTCACGATCATCTCGCATATAGAAGACTTCGATGTAACATTAGCAGCATAGTTTATTAACTCTTGAGTTGATCTACCTATGCCCCCTCCATAAGATCGTTCACGCTTCTATCTTGGGTTTTTTTTTACTTTAGTAATTCCGGTCATTGAGCGCCAAATGGCAAGAAAATGAAGCCCGAGAAAAGGCGGCAAAAAATTTTTCACTAAATTGGTTTGTTCATTTGAGATTCAACTAATGCACGAGTGGGTGTGGGAGAACCGAGTGAGCGAAGGAGGGGTACAAAATTAAAAGCTTATTCGTAAATTGATTACAATGCGCGCGGGAGAGATGTTAAATGAGGTGTTTCATAGTTGAAAACACTTGGCTTTTCTTAAAATAGTCATTTGGTCGTTTTGGATTGTGCCTGAACCCCGAGTGAGGCATTATAACTCAATATCGATATGTTTTTTTTGCTAAATGATGTCTTTATATCGCTCATCTCGAAAAAGAGCGTTTTGTTGATTGTGAAATTTTTGCCCGGTGGACGTTTCAATGTGCAAGAATGAAAGAGAGAAAATAATTTCATGGTTTCGCGCTCGTTTTTCACACAACATTCCACCTTATTCCACCATTCCGAACACTTAAATTGGTAACATGAGAAATCCAACAAGCTGCCAACGCATCGGCGGCTTATTAAATTGATACTGAAAACCCTTACGAGATGATGATGATGAGGAAAAAAGGTGCATCAGCACGAAATGTTAAAAACGCATTAAGACCCACTCGTTTCGGACCGCAAAAGAAATTCAGTACAGCATCAATCTTGCACGTTTTAACAGAGTGAAAAATCTCATTTTGGGTGAAAGATTTCATTTGCATATCTCCTGAGAGGAGATTCTTTGTGCAAAAGGCCGCACTTACATGTTATCGTGTTTTAATATTCAGTGGCAACATTTCAATATTTCTGCTCAGCTCATCCAAATTGGCCGAAATTTAAGTGAAGCTGGCATTTCAGGCTGAAGATGAGATAAGAGTTGTTTGTTTTACTCTCTTTTAAAGTTGCCCGAAAAAGAAGGACGGACTCCAAGTGGATCATTAAGTTTTAGTTAAGCAATCAAATCTGGAAAAAGTGTTTGCCTAAGTAATTTCCGTATCAGCGTTGTATCTCATTGGCCGAAGCTTTTACATGCTTTTACACCGGGGTCGCCAATCTCTTAGTAACGTTAGACCCGAAAGAGGAGTGCTCTGGATCGAAAGCAGAAACATTCATAAATATAGTTTATAGCGAACATCGGAATATTTTCTAACAAGCGTGACTTGTCTTCGAATGCTTTTTCATAAATCCATGTTTTGATTTTTGAAAAGATACAAACAGTAATTTTTATAGTGTCTCGAAATACTCATCACTAATAGTTTTCAATGTTAAGATCATGAATGTTACAATATTTTGCCCAGGAAAGAAAAATTAAAGTGTCCTGATTTTGTATTTATTTAATTAATTCAACTGAGTTTTTTTGTCACTGTGATCTATATTTTGCTATAAATTTCTTCATGTGAGATTCGAATTACAAATAAAATATATCAAAATGGTTACACTTTAATCAAGCATGACTGGTTTGCTCGAGCTTTCGTGATGGCAAAAAGCTTCCCCCGAAGAGAACAAACAGTTTCCTATTCAAATTGTGAATAAGAAAAAGGCGTGCAATGTTCGATGGAGCAAAAATTGTTTCGATTTTTCAATTTGGGGCAAAAGGGAGGCACAAGCACAAAGTTGAGGGTTTTTTCTCCAAGTTGCTCGCTTGGGTAATTTGGTGTCTTTCTGCGTGGCGAAAAAGAAGCAATTGAAGAGGGGAAAAAGCATTGTTAGTAAATTCCTTTCTTGTTTTGCAATTTATTACTTCTTTATTCTCTCTCCTCTCCTTCTGGTCTTCTTCACATCTTTCCAGCGGTTGTCCTTTTCTGTGTGCGATGCCAAACCAACTCTGGAGAGGCTGAATTTGAAGAAAGATACTCGCACCAACGGCACAGGAATAACACCAAACAAATAATGATCTATAAATGCTTGGCACGACGCTGAAGTCAGCGAGAAAAGAGGTGGGAATGAGAAAGGGGAGAACTTTTGATTATAGCTTTTTCACAAAACGATTTGCTTTGTACATTAAAATGTATGATGTACTTCATAATCACTTTCATACACCGCACAATTCTTCTATTTTGCTCCATTCTCGTCTGCTTCACAGCTCAAAGTTGTGTGTTTATCCGAGTTGAAGAGGCGGAGAAAGAGAGAGAATGTTGCAAATAATACAAATCGCACTTATTATATTTATATATTTAATAAATATAACAACATTATTACTTCGTCATCTGAAATTTACGCGTGGTTTGCTGATGAAACCGACATGCAAGGAATCACTCCAATCTGCGAGCTCCAAACGAGTGGAAGACAAATCGATAGTGGTGGCACAATGGAAATAAATTG